AGTCTCACTCTGTCTCCCAGACTGGAGTGCAGTGGCCACTCCCGGCCACTGCAGCCTTGACCTGCTGGGCTCTGGTAATCTTTCTGCCTCAGCCTTCCGAGTAGCTGGAATTACAGGTGTGCGCTACCACATTCGGCTGATTTTTGATTTATTGTAGAGATGAGGTCTCGCCAAGTTGCCCAGGTGGGTCTTGAACCCGCGGGCTCAGGCAATCCACTCACCTAAGCCTCCAAAGGCACGGGATTACAGGCTGAGCCACCGAGCCCAGCTCCCTCCTCCTCTTGATCCCTCCTGGCAGAGCCTCTGGGGTCCCATCCCAGCAACACCCCTCCCCTGCAGGCTGTGTGTCTCTGGGCAAGGGACTTGACCTCCGGAGCCCAGTGTCCTCTTCCCTTGCTGGTCTCTGCCCCTCGCAGATGGGCTGGAGTCTCCACAGTGCCTGATGGGAGCCCTGTGGAACTGGTGCTGCTGTCACTACTGTCATTGTGACTGACAGTCCTTCATTCACTCAGCCCTTGAGGGGGCCTGTCCAGACAGAGGTGGTGGCATAGTTGCAGGAGCAGGGAAGGCTCTGAGATCCTGGCCCCAGGCAAACGCTATGGGTGCCCTAACTGTCCCTCCCCTCTGCATGTCCAGCCGGCATCTGAGGCCTTTCCGGAGGCCCTGAGGGCTGGGCCGTGGGCCCATCCTGGTAGCTCAGTCTTGTGGGGCCCAAAAAGACAGCTTAGGGACACAATGCCACGTCCCCACAGACCCAGGAGTCATCCTGAAGGGTGTTGGGTGGTGAGCAGGGAGATAGCAGAGGCCAGGACCTCCAGAGCACTGGGTGGCACAGAAGTGGGGTCCTCACATGTCCCCTGGCACCAAGTGACCCTGGGAATTTTGAGAGAAGGACCCCCTGCTGGTGTAGTAACTCTGTTGGAATCCAGAAGGCACAGAGCAGGGTGACTCTGTCACATGACACGATTATGGCCCTGTCTCTAGAATGTCCCTCTGGGAGGGCGGTGCTCGACCCTCTGAATTGTGGTCCCATAGTGAATTTTCAAGTGCATCTGTTGAGTGGATGGGTGGATACCCACCACGAATGCCTGACCTTCAGGTTCCAGGAGCCTGTGTGGGGCTGTCACGACCCCCTTTCTCTTGACTGTGGCCACAGTGGGCCGGCAAGCTCCTCCTGCAGGGATGGACCCACCCCTAGCCAAGGCATCCCCAAGCAGGTACCTCAGCCACACGCAGCCACATACAGCCACCTGCATGTCCCCAGAGTGGCTGTGACATCCGCTGAGAGCACCCGCCAATGCCTCCAGACTTCGAAGAGGGGCCTCTAAGGCACCTACCATCCTCTCTCTCGGCACGTCCCTTCCAGGCGGCCTCCCATCTCTGTCCCCTGTCATCCGCCCGCCGCTCAGGGCCCAGGGACACGGTGCCTGTCAGGCGCCATCGACAGAGCCGTGGAGAGTGGAGATGTGTAGTCAGTGCATGCCAGCCTTACTGTGGGTGAGGACAGTGCATGTCACGCATTCCTGCGGGTGAGGACTCACCGTGCTGGTGGTGAATTCTGGTGGGTTGTCATTCACGTCTGTCACAGTGATGATGGCTGTGGCTGTGTTCGAGAGACCATAGTTGAGATTCCCTTCCATGTCTGTGGCCTGCACGATGACTGTATACTGCTGAACTTTCTGGAAGGGAGAGATGAGTTGGGAGAGAACAGCACTTCAGTGTGGGTTTTAATAACATGGCGGCTATGAAAAGAAATCTGCTCCCAGAATGAACTCAGCCAGAGCCGGGGCGCCTTTGTGCTGGGCTGCCTGTGGGGTCAGCGCCCTCTCAGACTTTCAGGCTGACACTGCCTGCTGGAAGAGCTTTCTGCTCCCCTTGCCATGGGAGAGGGCATGGGATGAAGCAGTGTGGTTTTTCCATCTCAGGGGCCCTGCCTTAGACACGTGGTGACCACGCTTGGTGCCAAGACCGGAGGAGGACGGGCTGCATCCTGTTTGGACAACCAGGGAGGGACAGTTTCCAGAGAGAGGGACACTCCCCAGACATGCAACGGAGGGCTTCACCTCCCGAGTGTCTACACCGTCCAGTTGAACTGCAGGCCAGAACTCTGCCGGGATACCAGGTGAGCCTCTCTCTCCTGCAGGTGCCCAGCCACAAGCTGCTTTCTGCCAAGAGTGTGGCTTGGGAGGAGTGGCTGGTGCCCAGGTGTGGTGTGAGTTTTGAAAGGCAGATCAAGCTGGATGGAGGGAGTGCGTGTGGGATGGGCTGAGGAGTCTCATGGCCCTTCTCACAACCCTGGCTGGGAGTTCACCAGTGCAGAAATCCCGGAGTTGGCAGAAGTGGCGTATTCACACCCTTGTTCTGATCTGGTCATGCATTTTTGCTGTGGCAGCTGAGGACAGCCTGGTGGGCAGCTCTGCTGGGACCACAGCCTGCCTCTTACCATTAGGGGAGGGAGGACTCTGGGGACCAAAGCAAAAAAGGAGCCTCTGAAATGTCCTTCAAGTGACTAATAATCCCAAGTCTTGCTCTCCTAAGAGGTTAAGGGAAAAGACCAAGTCCCAGTCATGTGATTCAGTGACACATGCCCAAGTTCTATGAACTGGCTCCATAAGGAACTATAAACAATGGATGGGTCATCGAACTTTTTCTCTTTGCATCCATCTCTCCATCCAGCCATCATCCATCCATCCTCTCATCCATCCATCCATCCATCCATCCACTTTCCTTCCATTAATCCATCTACCTTATTTCCATCCATCCATCCATCCATCCTCAATCCACCCCTCCATCCACCCACCCAACCATTCATCATCCACTCATCAACCAGCCATCTATCCATCCATCATCCATTCATTCCTTAATCCACCTACTAACTCATTCATTCACCCATCATCCACCTACCCATTCATCTACCATCCCTCCATCCACTCACCCATCCATCCCTCTCTCCATCTCCCCTCCTATCCTTTCATCCCTCCATCTCCCTATCCCTTCCTCCCTCCCTTCAAGACCAGCCAGCCCCAAGCTCTCCAGGCAGCTGATGAGAGAGGAATGAATGAGCCCAGCCAAGGCTGGAGGCGTTCTCCAGCTGAGCTCAGCCCAAATTACCAATCTGTGGAATTATAGCTAAATAAATGTAAATAAATAGGGGTTGCTTTAGGTGGCTCAATTGTGGGAGGTTTGTGATGCAGCAGAAGCTCTCTGACATACACTCAGAGCCTCAGTATGGTGGGGCTCTGTGTGGCCTGGCTGCTGGCTGTCTCGGTAGCCTCACCTTGAATCCTGCTCCCCACCCCCCAGATGCCCTTTTATCTTGGAATTCTCTCCTGGGCCTCCAGCCAGTCAAGCTCCCCACTGCAGCCTTCCATTCCAGCCTGCTCTTCATCCACAGCTCATACCATGGTTGTAATTTTACATTTGTTGTGTCCTTGTCTGATGCCAACCTGAGATCTGGGAGGCCATGCTGTCTCACTCACCACCATGTCTCTGGGGTCGAATGTGGTGCCCCAGAGCAGACGCCCAGTGAAAGTGAGCTGCAAGCTGCCAACCACTGTGGTGGCCACAGATACTCTGGTGAATGACTGGCTGCTCCCCAGGGGACTTGGGTACCAATAAGGCATCTGGACAGTCTGAGGACAGCTGCAAGTGACTAAGGGGGCCTTGAGAGTGTCCCACAATCCAACTCACAGGTCGGCAAGATATGGCCCATGGGCCGAGTCTGCCTGCTGCTGTCTTGCCTTGTGAATACAGTTTTGCTGGCACACAGCTGCACTCATTTATTTACTCACAGTCTGTGGCAGGTTTCACACCACTGCACCAGAGTACAGTAGTAATAGAGACTGTGTGACTCCCAAAGCCTAAAATACTAACCATCTGGCCCTTCACAGAAGATGTCTGTCCACCTTGGGCTCCAACTCCAGCCAGGACAGGCCTGACAGTGAGGCCACATACATCTCAGGGAGGGAGGCTGGGAAGTCAGCAAAGGCTTCCAGGAAGAGGCAGTCATGCTGCCTGAGGGTGACAGGATAAACTGAGAGCAGAGCTAGGAGTTGGGGAACATAACTGGGTCTTGTGGCAGTCAATCAGACTCGGGCCCTGGACTGGGGGGCTGCTCTGGGGGCTCCCACATGGTCTCACCCAGACCAGGGTGACAGTGGCCAATGGCCACTTGCAGGGGCCAGGGCTCGCCGAGGCTGGGGCACTGACTCCTGGGCCCCTAGCCCCCATGCACTGTGTCCCACAGCCCTGGGGATTGTCCCAAGAGACCTCCCCAGTGAGGTAGGTGTCAGGAGCCCCTCGGAGGAGCAGGAAGCAGCTCCAGTCTCTGCATGCATGGCTGCTTCAAGGAGCTCATAGCCTGGGAAAGAAGTCAGGAGTGCTGCAGTCAACTCCTGCGAGTTGTGGAGGAGCCGGGCTGAACTGGAGGTGTCTGGAGGACTGAGTCTTGTCCAGGCTTGTGTCCCCGGTCCCCAGTCCAATGCCTGGCACATAGTTGGTACTCAATCAATGTTCACTGAGAGAACTAAGTGAATGGCTCATGTCTAACACAGCCTGTTCAGCCAGGATCCTTAGGCAGGGGGTGTGAGGGGGCTGCAAGGCTCCAAGGTACAGGGGCTGGGCCTGCAGGTCTCAGGGCTGCCAGTAGCCTGGACCACACTGGACTCAGTGTCCCTCTCTGTAAAATGGGGTGGGACCGCACAGCTGTGGCACCAATCACTGAAATAGTGGCAGGAACGTGTGGCCCACACCGGGATTTCACTGTTTCTTTTCCATTGATCTTCTCCCCTCCCTCACCTGCCCCAACTGCTAGCCCCCAATGACATCCTGTTCTGTACTGTGTACGCCGCCTGCCCTGCACTACTATGCCTGTGGCTCATGCTGGCCCTCCCTGCTCCTCTCCCTGGTGAGCTCTGCTCTTCCTTTGAGAACCAGCTCCCTTCATGCCTCCAGAATTGGTCATGTCTCCCTCATCAACTCTGCAGGTGCAGCGGGACCCGGACAGCCACAGCCCTGCCTGCGTCCACTGCGGGAAGACTAAGAATATCTAGAGGGCTGAGTCTTGTGCAGACTTGTGTCCCCGGTCCCCAGTCCAATGCCTGGCACACAGTAGGTACTTAACCAATGTTCATTGAGAGAACTAAGCGAATGGCTCATGTCTAACACACCTGCCATGATGGCTAAAACTTGAAACCAAGGAGACATGAACAAATAATAGAAATAGTTTACATTTTCTTGCATGCTACATTATATTTTGAAAGTTTTCTCATAATAGGTTAATCCTTATCTCCCTTCCTTCTTTCTCTCTCCTTCTCACATCTGCCCACCCACACATCCATCCATTCATCCATCAATCCATCCATCCATCAATCCATCCATCCATCTGTCTTCCATCCATACTCCATTCCTCCATCCATAACCATTCATCCTCCTATCCATCAACCCACTATCTATCCATCCATCCATCATCCATCCATCCATCCATCATCCACCATCTTTCTTTCATCCTTCATCCATCCATTAATCCATCATACATCTATAATCCATCCATTAACCCATCATTCATCTATCTGTCATTCATCCATCCACCCTCCATTCATCCACCTTCCATCCATCCACCCTCCATCCATCCACCTTCCATCCATCCATCGATTATCCAACAATCCATCTGTCCATCCACCTTCCTTCCACCCATCCATCCATCCTCCACCTATCCCTGCACCTATCTACCCATCATCCATCCATCCATTCATCATCCATCCATCCATTCATCTACCTTCCATCCATCCATCACCCATCCATCCATCCATCCATCCATCCATCCATCCATCCATCTATCCTTCATCCCTCCCTGTACACATCTATCCATCATCCGTCGATCCATCTACCTTCCATCCATTCATCACCCATCCATCTATCCATCCCTGTACCCATCTATCCATCATCCATCCATCAACCCACCATCCATCTATCCATCATCCATCCATCCATCCATCCATCCACACACCATCCATCCATCCACCTTCCTTCTATCCATCCTCCATCCACCCGTCATCCATCCTTCACAGAGACCCCTCCTATGTCAGATGGATCACAATCACCCACTGAGGTAGCTGAGGTCCTTCCATCCTCTCATGAGATAAGGAAGCTCAGAGAGGTGACAGAGGCTCCCCACAGAGGGGTGAGGGAAGTTGGTTCTCAAAGGAAGAGCAGTGCTTGCCAGAGAAAGGAGTGAAGAGGGGCAGCACAGGCCACAGGCACAGCAGGTAGGACAGGGGGTATGGGGCACATGGTGCAGAATGGGGTATCATTTGCAATTGGGGCGGGTGAGGGAGGGGAGAAAGCAAACAGGAGAGGAACAGTGAAACCCAGTGTGGGTCATGCATTCCTGTCCACTGTTTTGGGGCCTGGTATCATTGCTGTGTGGTCAGCAGAGCACATGGTCCTGCCCCACGTCACAGGGGAAGACCTGAGTCCAGTGAGGACCAATTAGTCACATGACCTCCCCAGTATGACACTGGGGAGGTCTGGGGCAGAGCAAGGTGACTGGCTGGGGCAGAGTGAGGTGACTGGCTGGAGGGTCCCTGACATTGCGTCTGTGCCTCAGGCCTTTGTCATAGATGCAACGCAAATGGTACCAAGGTTGTCCACGGTGACGTTAGTCAGGATGCCACGTGTG